GTGGGTAATTAAAAACACTACAATACTGGGTTTCCGAGACTCTGCATCGTTAAAAGGTTGTTACCCTCTGCCATGACGGCGTCAAGTATCTAACCCAGGAATTTTGCCAGAATAAATCCGTTGTCCACTGTCACCACGTGGAGGTACCCAGGTTGCAGAAGGATCAAGTCATGGATATACTTTGACTCTATTGTGGTCTTGGACGTCAAATATATATATAAGATTTGTACTTTCTCAGAGTCATGTGGGAAAAACTGCATTTTCAGTGTAATTACGTTATGATCTGACGACAGATTCGTATTCAGCGACCCCAAAAACTTTCGAGTAACAAATTTTAGGCGAATCTGGTCAATTTTCAAAAACTCATCGGGTATACTGGATCTGCCATTTTGAATTTTGGAAAACTGACATCAGATTCGTACTCAGCGACGACAAAAACCCCCGAGTACCAAGTTTCAAGCGAATCGGATTAATTTGAAGAAACATCCGCCATATTGGGTCCGTCATATTGGATCTGCCATTTTTTAAATTAAAAAATCTAGTCAATTGTTATGTAATTCAAGCTTTTGAATCCAAATCTACGGTCAAAATTTCGAAGCTAGCTCGCGCTTTTTTATTACGGCTCAAAATGTACTAAAAAAAATGTTTTTTGAGATTAGAAAAAAAAAACCAACTTTTGAATTCTAACCTCGGATTCGGATTTAGCGACCCAAAATACGTAAGAATTGACTAGTCCGGTCCGCCGGACAGAAATTTCATTTTTTTGTGAGGCTGTTTAATTATTAAATAAAAAATTATTAAATAAACGATTAGCGTCAATTTTTAACCCATAAACATTGTAGTGTTTCTAATTACCTACATTAAAAAAAAAACGTTCAAATCCGAGTAGTTTTAACCGGTTCCGAGATAAAAACCTAATTTGCCTTTACTACCTATTTTCTTCACCTCTATTGCCTTCACTTTGGCTCCTATTCCCTGCAATAACTTTTCCACCTCTTGTCTCCTCCCTCCTTCCCTCACTTCTAAACCCCTTATCACTATATTCTTTCTTCTTTCTTTTTTCTCCTTCCTTTCCAACCTTCTCTCTATCTCTCTCATCCTCTCCACCACCTCCTCCTTTTCTTCTCCTACCTCCCTTTTTTCTTCCCCCTTTCTTTCTTATTTTTTTCTCCAATCTTTTTAACCTTTTCTATACTTTCTCCTTCTGCTTTTTCATCTCTTCCCTCTCCTCTCTCCATCTCTTCTCCTGCTCCCTGAACTTTTTTCTCAGTTCCTTTATTTCTTCTATCATCTTCCTACTCTGCTCCTTGAAGCCTTTCTTAAATTCCTCCCTCATGGACCTGAAGTCCTCTCTCATTTCTCCAATTATCTCCCTCAATTCTCTCACACCTATCTCTGCGTCTGTTTTTGGAGATCTTGCCGTTATATTGCTTCTCTTGAAAATATCCTCCTTCTCCTCCACGCTCTTATCTAACTCCTCTCTCTTCCTTTTCCATAACTCTTCTAACGTTACCGTGCTCCCCGTGCTCCCCGTACACCCTCTTCTACCTCTATCTTTCTCCTTCACTCTATCTATCACTTTCTTTACCTCAATCTCGTTTTCCTTCTCTTCGTTCATTTTCTTCTACTCTACGTTTCATTTCTCCCCTTACCTATGCTATTCTATGCTCTGCCTCGGTCTGCCTGCCGCGTCTCGATTTTCCCGTCGAGTCGACCCCCTACTCACACTAGCGTTCGCGCCCTACCACGCACTGCCGCCGTAGCTCGGTTCGCCGACCGCGTCGCCCCTCTACACTAGCTATCGTTCGCGCCTAGCCCGTCTCTGTGACTTGCCACTTTTCTGCCCTTCGTTCTCCTTTACCCGCCACTCCTTCGCTCACCCCTTTCGCCTCCTTGCTCTCTCACCTCCGCACCTCCCCGCTCAGTCACTCTTCCTCTCCTCTACTTCCTTTAACTCCCCGCTCAGTCACTCTTCCTCTCCTCTACCTCCTTTAACTCACACTTCTATTCACTTTCTTCACACACGCTTTCGCACCTGTCAGCCTCTGTCGTTCCGGAAACGGAAGTCTTCATCGAAAATATTATTTTCGATTTTCTTAGTCAAAAATCTAGTTCCAGGCTTCCCGTTTTAAAACTATTATATCCTCCACTAGAACAACTCAGAACAAAATTTTTAAGACCAGAACAAGAACCTAAAGGTCACTTTACTCTTCATCGGAAAAAAAACCCCGCACCAAACCACGGGAAAATGGATCCCGGTCAAATTGGCTAAAAATTTAGTATGATGTAGTTTATGACGTCCTGGTGAAAAGTGACCATGGGCACAAAGTCCAAACATGGAGTTTTCGAGTTACAGAGCGTCAAACATCAGGAAAATGGATTCATCGGCTCATGGTAGTCCTGTGTACGGTCGTACTTGTTTGTGCCTGTGTGTGCGTGTGTGTGTGTGTGTGTGTGTGTGTGTTTTATAAGAGGGAAAATACATTATGCACCGTAGGGCACTATCTCCCCGTGTGTCGGACTCTCACCGGCTAAAAACCCGCTTCTGTTACTCTGACCTTCTTCCCCGCAGGACTACCGCTAGGTATTGCTTCGCGGGGTGGTCCTAGCCGCAGCTTTTCCTCCAATGTACCGGATTATTACGATTACCCCGTTCTCAGTTGGGGTTAGTGTTCTGCTTCCTTCTTCTTATAAATTGTTCTTCTTCCTGTCGCGCTCTTTGCAGCGCAGCTCCTTAAGCACCTCCGCAGCGAAGGTGCTTGTCGCATTGCACGCTGCCTGTGACGACAGCATGACCTCGACCAGTTTCTCTGGCGTGACACACGTATTGAAAGCGTCTTCCAGCACTCTACGGGACCCATTGAAACGTGGACAATGAAAAAATACGTGTTCCGCGTTTTCCTCGACTCCATCGCAGACCGGGTACTCTGGGAAATCCTCGTACCCAAATTTATGAAGGTACGCTTAAAAGCATCCGTAGCCGGATAGCAGTTGTGTCAAGTAGTAATTTCCCTCTCCATGCCTGCGGTTTACCCACATTTCTACATTCCGGATAAGTCGGTAGGTCCATCTTCCTTTTGGTGAGGCGTCCCAACTCGCCTGTCAGCGGCAAAGACTATTCCGTCTCTCTTTCGCCTTCAACTTTCTCGGTTCTAGCATTGTCGATCTCTTCTGCTGGTATAAGGATCTCCGCTCTTCCGCTAGCACCCGGATGGGCAACACTCCAGCTATGACGCATACTGCGTCACCGGATACTGTGCGGTATGCGCAGGCTATCCTCAAAGCGCTGAACCGGTGTACTACTGCTATTTTTTCTGATACGTCTGTACCATCAGTGTCGGCCCAGATGTCAATGCTATATGTGAGCGCTGAGATCATCACTGATGATAAGAATGCTCTCCTCTTCTGCTTCGGGCCGCCAACGTTCGGCATGAGTCGTGACAGCGTTGCCGCCACCACAGACGCCTTGTTACTGATATGGTGCACATGCTACTTGAAACTGAGCCTCGTGTCAATCATCACACCCATATACCGAATACACGGCTGGGATGTGATCTCATGATCGCCAACTCTGAGTGTAATAGTCTCAGCCACCTTCCTGCTCAATCAACACAACCTCCGTCTTGTGCTCAGCAAGCTTCAGTCCGACCGACCTCATCCAGCGCTGAATCTTTGCATACGTTTCGTCAAAGTTCACCTTGATCTCCTCCGGGTATTTTCCGGTGATGACGATTGCGACGTCGTCCGCGAATGCTACCAGTTTTACCCCCTCAGGTAGAGTCAACCTCAGCAGCCCGTCATACATGATGTTCCATAGCAGGTGACCGAGCACAGAGCCCTGGGGAACACTCCCCGTAGCTCTATACCCCTGAGGGCCGTCCTCTGTGTCGTACATGAGAAACCTGTCTCTGAGATAGTTCGCTACCATCCTCTGGAGATACCTCGGAACCTTTAGCCTATTAAGAGCGTCCATGATGCAGTCCCATCTTGTCGAGTTAAAGGCATTCTTAATATTCGCTCCTCTCTTTCACCTTCTGCCAGAAATCGCTTCTCTGGCAGTGTTGGACTACCAATTTAATGGCATCGAGAGTTGAACGAGACTTCTTGAAGCCATACTGATTATCAGCCAGAGAGTGATAAACTATCTCTTCAATTCTCCTATGTACAATGCGCTCCAGGATCTTGCCGGCGGTATCCAGCATGCAGAATGGCCGATAGGAAGAAGGTTCATCCGGTGGGTTTTTTCCTTTTGGGAGAAGCACTAATCTCTGCCCTTTCCACCTGTCGGGAAAAATACCTTCCCTGAAGCACGCATTATACATGTTTAAGAATATCCCTGGCGATGCATTGATAGCAGCCTTGAGCGCTACGTTCGGGATTCTATCCATACCTGAGGCCTTGTTATTGCCCACTTTATTGGTGGCCCTTAGCAATTCATCCAGTGTGATGGGTGGAACCATTTCTCCAGCAGCCCATGCAACTTCACGGGCGTATTCGGGCCGCTGCGAGAAAAGCACCGTAACGATCCTCCGCAGCAAGGCCGGGCAAATGGGTGGTGTCATTGGCTGACTCTTGAGTCGAGTCATGACCACCTTATAGGGCTTACTCCACGGGTCGCCGTCAACCTCGCTAAGAAGCTCATCCCAGCACTGCATCTTGCTACGCTTGACAGCTTTGTTCAGCTTTAGGCGTACTTCCTTATATTTCACTTCTAGTTCGTGAAAGGTAGGCTTACCTCGGGTCCTTTGAAACAATCTTCTTGCCCGCTTGCACTTTTTACGGAATATAGCAGTACCATCATTCCACCAGTATACTGGTGGGAACTGATTAGAAATTCTTTTCCTTGGCATTGTGACGTCACAGGCTTCAGTTACCCTTCCGATGACTGTCTCAGTCTTCTTGATCGCACCATCCTCGACAAGGGCTCCTCCGTCAAGCGCCAGACGGAACATATTCTCGTCAAACATGCTTCCTTTCCAGCCAAGTCACACACCCCCACACACTCACTTACTCACACACACACACTCACTTACACACATACACACACACACACATTTGTTTTGGCGCGTATGCCGTTAGCGATTTTAAAATTAATGCGGTCGTCAAGAATGCCGGAGTCCGTTTATTTTTCGGAGAGATCGTTATTCCAGCCGCGTAACGATAAGTCCCGGCATTTACACACCCGACAGCCGAAACTAAGGTAGGCATTTGAATTCTCTTCAGCTGTAAACATTGCGCTAGTTTCTCGGTTATAAAAGTCATTTCGGAGCCCTGATTTAGCAAGGCTCTCACAACAGAACGGCCGGATGACGTGCCAACGGTGATCCGAGCTGTCGCGAGCAAAACATGCGAACGATTGGTATGCGGCGACGCAAACAATGAGTTTATTTCGTTACTTTTTGATTCAACGGTTTTCGGCGTTTCGGTTGACGCCGTGACCTCTGCGGGTTTCGAAGAAGAGTCGGAATCTACATGAAGCAGCGTATGTTTTTTTTACAAAGACGACACAAATATGTACTGGAGCACATCTTTGCTCCATGATTTGGACTTAAACAATTGAAACACTGCTTCTCCTTTTGTACAAGTTCTCGTCGCTGGTTCGGACTCTTCCCGGTAAATTGCGAACAGACGGAGAAACCATGCTTCGCTTTACACAACGAACACGGCGGGAAAGTTTTCGCAAACACGTTAGCACTGATCTTATGAATATTCGCATTTTTCGTTTTATCGGAGCAAGAAGAGGGGAGCTTCCAATTCTCAAGAGTTCGGATTTGGTTATCCAAGAATTTTTTAAAATCGTCCTATGACGGAGGATTTTGATTTTCACTAAACTTTAAATTCCATGCCTTTCGTATAATTACATCGAGTTTTTGGGACTCGAGACTTATGAAAATATCGCTCCATAGCTTTTCAGGCGTGCGATTTAATTTATTCAAAGCCGCGACTGCGGTAGTTATTTTATCGCGTAATGATTGCAACTTGAGTGCGGATTCTTTCGCGACAACTGGCAAATTAAGGCGCGTCGACATGTGAATACTTATCAAACAGAGCTTGTTTTCAAAGCGCGCATTTAACATATTCCAGACAATATCGAAATTCTCCGCGGTAATACTGATATCTTTCACGCACTCAAGAGCGCGATCCCGGAGGCATGAAATTAGATAATGCATACGCGAGAAATTAGACATTTTCATTGTTAATAATAAGGGACGTAAACCGATCGCGAAAGCTCTCCCATTCTTTGTACTTCCCGTCAAACGGAGGAAGTTTTATCGGCGAAAGATGTGACAAAGAAAACGCGGACGACGGAATTGCGGGTGACTGCGGTCCAAAACTGAGAGATTGGTTCGGACTTACATACGGTTCCAGTTTCTCCAGACATTCGTTCATGTAATCTGAAGAGAGCCGATACTTCTCTTCGTAGGTCTCGTACTGTTGATCCTTGAAGTATGCGTGAGTTGTTCGTTCCGCAACGGGAATAGCGGCCAGGAGGGCAAAGTGTCCATCTTTGATGTCTGCCCAGACGTGCTTCAAGTCACTGATTCGACTGCGAATCTTCGCTGCAGTCAGGTTATTTTTTCCAATTTGCTTGAAGTTTTCCAGTGCGCGGTTGATCGT